ATACTAACATTGGCTCTCCCACGTTGAGGAAGTAAAAGTATCTATCTATCATACTGAAGGGAAACTTGTTTGTACATTTCATTTTTCACCTTTTTCGCAGAAAGAGTCATTCGTTTTGGCAGTGGCTAATTTCATTTAAATAGCAGCTTTATAGACAAGTAAATGCACTAAAAGACTTCGTTACGTGGTACAAATCAATATGCATTTATCAACTATGTTGCACCTAAAACATCTATGTCACCTGTCTATTGATTACCGACAACACAGGATGCGCTATCTGTAGCACGCAGTAAGGTAAATGATATGCATGGGCTATTTTTAGATTACCGATCACCAAGGTGTATACTGTAGTTTGAATTCCACGTTAAAATTGCATTTAAATATTTGTATCATAGTTTGGGGATCTTTCTGTTGAAAATGTGTTCGAGTTAAATCGTATATATATGCATGCACCGTGCGTTAACTGGAGTGCAGGTATTAATTACCCGCACTACAGAGCATGCCCATTGATTGGCTAATTTTTGTGACGTGACGGTAGAGAAAGTGAAAGCCATAGAAATATCATATTTAGATGCTCGTTCATTGGTTTCTTTTCTCTGTGGTTTCATATTGTGACAACCAGGAACGTGTTTTATGTTTGACTATGATACAAAAGAGAAAGAACATCAAAACACTTGGCAATCTGATATTATACTCGGGGCTCCGCGCCCGTGTACAAATCAGATAGCCTCGTGTTTCGATACTCTTTATATTACAAGACACAGTAGATCTAAATATAAGTCGTTCGCAGACAAATGTTATAGAGCTATGCAATTTTAACTTGTTCGCACTAATTCTCTGTGTGATTCGGTCACGATCTTTTGGTTAGTAGGACCGTCCTTTGGAGACGGAATACTACTACAGTAGCCATTCTCTATTGTATGAAACTAATAAAGACAAAAAACAATCATAAAAGAAACTAACTTTTGCGTCTTGAAAACGAATTGAAACGGAACATTTTCGTTTATAATTCATTTCTTTCTTCTACTTACGCTTTAAACCGATAAATTAAGTAAAATTAGAAATCCTATTTGTAGAAACAAACTCAAACTGGGATTACAGAAGTAATAACTTAGATTTCCGTAATATTACTTCGTCTGATTCCGCAGTATGTCGGAATCACCCGAATTGTCACGTTTGCAGCGGAAACCTAGACTGGTTTCCCGTTCCATCATGCATTAACAAATGTAAACAGAAAGCCACGTAACCGGAACAACGTTTTCAATACAATGGCCTGCCAAAAAGGATTGGAGCACCACACTAAATACCGTATTCCAGTATATACCAGACAAGGCGCTTGAATCATAAAATGCTAAAATGTTCCCTTTATACCCAACGGAATGAACTTTTATAGGTCTAATTCATCTTTTCAAACCGATTTATACAAGATACAAGAAACTTTATTTTAAGTCGGTTTACATATCACAAGAAACATTAGCTAATAAGCTATTTGCCGACAACAACAAAATACATAAAACATATTTACTAAAATATAACAGATCTGAAAGTAAAACATATAAAACTGGTAGCAACTTTAGGCATGAAATAAAAAGTAGCAAGGTTAAGAAGAATTACACAATAAGATGACAAATTAAAGCAAAGTATGATGACATGCACAGTACATATTGTATTAAAGGTACTAACAGTTTAAAAGTAATAAATGACTATGGTATAGAATGAGCTGACAATGTAAGTATGGTACATGTAGCAATGAATAAAAATAAATCAATCAATCGATCAATCAATAGATTGACTTAATAATAAAAAAGGTATATAAAAATTTATGATAGAACTAAAACAGCATGAAAAAAGAAAAAAGATAGGAAAATCAACATACAGCATATAATCAAAGCATCATAGCAAACTAAAAATGGATGCACAAAAACAAAGCAAACAAACAAACATGCAGTCTAAACATTTAACATAAATTAAACTAAGCAAAAAAAAAAAAAACAAAAATTTACAGACACATAGCACATTTACAACTTGGGCCACTCCAGACCTGGATCAGTCTCCCAAACTCTTTGTAGTTTTCAACCTTGCGGAGACTGTTCCATATCCGGGCGCCTTCAAACCTAAAAAAAATCTTACCGTATGCTAATGTTTTGACCCTTGGAATATTTACACTTTTTTGATACCTAAAAGAATAATTGGGATTTTTAAATTGAATTAAATCCTTTATATATGGTGGTGATTTTCAATACAGGCATTTAAACGCTTCTTTGGCTATAGTTTTAATCCTTGATAAATGTTAAGTAGGCATATTTACTTTTTTATGTATGATAATGAATGAAAAATGTAAAAAAATGATATTAATCTATTTTGTGATCATGATTTTATATCCATGAATTCGTCAAGAAGCATGTGACCCGGTTAGGAAATTGGAATTAAATGTGCAAAGCATGAAAGAAGGGTACGATCGAATAATAACATGTATTTATTTATTAAAAGAATATAAGCAATTACTGATTTACACCAGAAATAAATGGCATGCGATAACATAAATGCTTGAAATTCATGTAGGTCAGTTGTGTTAACGTTTCGAAGGTTTGTATCTTTCGGAAATTGAAGCGTTGGTAAAAAATTGAATTTTCTAAAACGTTATGAAATTCTGTTCAAACTTGTTCACGTGTTAGACACTTAACCGTGTCATACTTATATAAGCAAAAATTTAAAACTAATTCCTGCAATGAATAATACTCTAAGTTTTTTAATTGCAGGGGCGGAGAAGGGCGGGGTCTATACTCCAATTGTCTGTGACTTTTCCTTTCTCTGCCGTCACAATAAGTGAACCCCAGCAAAAATGAGCCAATCAATGGGCATGCTCTAGAGTGTGGTTAACTTATACATGCACTCCAGTGAACGCACTGTGCATGTATATGTATACGATTTAACCCTGACACATTTTCAACAGAAATGTCCCCAAAATATGATACAATATAAGATAATATATAATAATTATGTCCGTTAAAAATTGCATAACCTGAGAAAAAAATGACAGTTCCGGTCTATAAACTTTTACAGTTGACACACGTCAAATCTTTTAAGTTCCATATATAGATTTATGTTTGTTTACGTCGCCCACTGCTCATTCACCTGTGCATGCAATGAAGAGACACGTCCTTGATTTTTTCAATTTTAATCTAGATTACAATTGATAACGCGAGGTGAAAATAATTGGTAGATTTTTCTTATAGACTGTAAGTCATTTAATTGAAAGACATGTTTTTTAAAAATGCAAATGTTTATAAGATTTCTCTTTTTTTTTCAACCGGAAATGCTAGCAGACGACAACTCGTTTTTATCTACTTTGAATGTATTGTTGTTAATCGTTGCATATATAGTAATATTTCATCGAAGGTCTCGATTCCTCAATAGCATATAATGCTTTAAAAAATAGTGTTTTCCTTCTTTAAAACAGAATCTACAATAAGTGTCAATTATTTACTCTTTTCAATGTTTCCGAAGGAGGTTCCATTTTTCAAAATTTCATTATTTCCAATTTTGAATTAGATGCACTGGCTAAGTGATGGGCCTTTATACAACAATCTTGTTTTCCTGAACTTACAGGCTCGAACCTTTCTTATAAATAGAGATGTTATTAATCATGCACTATATATATGTGTTCACTCATTGATTTATTTATGCACTGTCATTACAAACTGAATTATTTAAAGTCTTTAGCTGATAACTCCAACGCATCATTTATGCTAGCATTGCGTAAGATACGCATAGATAGATGTTACCGGACCAGTGCTCTTATAACATAAGTAATACATGCACATAGAATATACGACCAGTGCTAGACCAGTATTTCACAATATCATATAATGACTCTTTCAAAACAAAAAGGTTGCTGGGAAACTTTCTTATGGTGCACAGCTGGATCTTGTTTACTCAAAATATACAAAAGCGTTTTAATAACAGCTTAAGATTCAATTTACCACGGAGTTGTACATAGGGCCTAAACCCACTATATATTTCAGGCAACCTAACCAGTGCTTGACCAGTGTTGTTATTGCTAATTTCGTTTTAGAAGTGTATTTTCGTATTATTTAAAATATCGTCTTAAAAACAGCCATGATATAGAGGTTAAAGGTCATGTTCAAAAAGCACAAACAAACAAAAGTGTTGTTTTTTCACTGAACACATCGAACACTGGGCTGGTGACTATATGCATGTACATAAAAACAATTTACAGCAGTTGTAGTATATTGCAAAGTAAGCATGTTAAAGTCCAAAAACCGACAATATTTGAGTACACAATCACTGAATATTAAAATGGTGTTGGTCAATATTGCGAGATGATATGATATGACTTGACTTTAAGAATATTGCGTATAGCAAAGTACATTATGATTTAAGTTCGTAACGATATTGAACTCCGCAAATAATATATACTTACTGTATTATATAAAATTAAATGGTTATGTACGTTTTTTGGCTTTAAAATGTTGTTTACTACTTAAGCCGGTACTAATGGGGTGTGGACGGTATCTTTTCAGTATCGTCAATGGACAGACTGAATCAAACAGAGCCTGCAATATTTTCAAATTTGCCGTTTTGGACGCTCTATAGGGATTCGTATTTTCTCTATTTGAAAATTGATACACCATAAGAGGGTTACTAAATAGTCTTTATTTCTTATTTATGATATGTTCGTTTAGGATTATGAAACATACCACTAGGAGTGTCATGTGCTGTTTTTCTTTTACTTTCTGTAGCATAATGTAATTTAACACCATAAAGTCAATGGAACCGGTATCACTTTCACAGATTTTACTTATCTCTTTTATGTATAACAAACGATACCAAATCATTCAATTATTCCAATTCATTTGGAAATTGAACTACATTGTAGTTGGTTATAACTAGAATTCAGTTTTCTCAGAACGGAACTTAATATTTACTGAACAATCTATAATTGAATGTTGATCAATAGTTCTGTCCTCTATTTTCAGAACTTCAAGGCGACCTCATTAAATTCTACAGAAACAATTGTGGTTCGATACCTCTCTCACCGCTCCTGGAAGAAGTAGACACACCTCTTGCTGGATTCTACGTGATGCCAGATATAGTCGCCATTCAACAAAAGTCCCCTTCAAGTGACAAGGAGGTGAAAACGCCTGTCAAATCTTTAAGTGACCTGTTTTCGGTTGGACGCGGTAATCAGCAAGAAATATATTTATCAGCAGACGCAGGCTTTGGAAAAACTGCTTTTTCAAAATACCTTGCAATCACGTGGTGCCAGGCTCATCATAAAGACAAAAACTACAGATGTTTTAAATATGAGGAGTTAAAAGCTTTATCTGACTTTGAGTTTCTATTTTTGGTTTTATTAAGAGATTGTTCTGATATCTGTAGCATAGACAAAATGATTGAGCAACAAATTATTGAACAACTTCCTACGTCAGTATCAATAGAAAGAATTTTACGTAAAGAAACGTGCTTGATTATATTAGACGGTCTTGATGAATGGACCCACCCTGAAAATGGCTGTTCCAGACGAAATGAAAAAATCCCACATCGGTACATGCGTGATAAGTGTGTTATCTTAACGACTTCGCGTCCATGGAAACTTGGAGTATCAAATCTAAAAACAAGTCAGTTAAACAAGAAAATAGAGTTGGTTCAACTTAGTGAAGATTCTACGTTGCAACTTGAGAAAAATGCTTTAAGTAAAATGACTGGTGTTCCTGATGGTGACGAATTGATGAGTAAAACACGGGACTTAAATAAAGTGATAGATGACTGTGGCCTTCAGCACATGCAAACAATTCCACTCCTCCTCATGTTTATAACTTGTCTTTGGTGCAACGGAATTCCCATAGGAAACTCGAAATTAGATGTTTACACCAAAATAATTGAATTTCTTTTATCAAGAACAGCAAAGAAATACCCGGAAATTCAACCATCTTGTGACTCTTCTGCAAGCGATATACCAGAATATTTCAGAAACCACAACTTTATTAAAACATTTTACTCTCTTATAAAATCATTATCAGAACTAGCTTATCAAACATTATTTAATGAAACAAAAGAAAACACGCTTGTTTTCGACGGATCGGTTGCTAAAACATACCTAAAAGCAGACGACATGAAAATAAGCCTTTTCTCAGGAATATTATCAGAAAGTAGGACTAAGACATTAATAAAAGAAATAACTAAAGTGTCATTTTCCCATAAAACAGTTCAAGAATACTTTGCCGCCATATTTATAAGTTATCACAGTGACGCTCAGAAAATTATTATGGAAAAATGTAGAAATGTTCAAGACATTCTAGACATGTCAATAGTTTGGAAATTGATAATTGAAATGAATGCTGACTTGATGTATGCAATATCAAATGATTTGATGTCTGTGATAAATGAAGACGCGATAACACGTGAACAAAGAACTTGGACAGGTTACAAGTACATGTACCAGACTCCATTGTATAACATACAGAAAATGTTCATGTCGTGTATACAAGAAATGCCTGAAAGTGAAAATATTCAATTATCTTTACAAGATTTCTTCATTGACTGGCGCACCAAGCACAGTGAGCAGTTACAACGCTTGTCAAAACAAAACAAAACCAACATAAAATCACTTTATATAGACATCCGCGATACTTTCAGGAGTTTATGTGAAATTATAGATGTGTTCTCTCTCACAGATCTCAGTCATATACAGAAACTTTACTATGATGGTGACGGGAAGGAGGAGGCTATGATAAGTCGGATATTGTTTCCCAGTTTACAGTCCGTTACTTTGTCGTCTGGTAAATGGCCAAATGATGATGAAAATCTGGGTGAAAATTTGGCGCGATTACAAAACTTACAATATTTATATATTGAATGGTTCATGTTATCTCACAAAATACTGGAAACATTTTCCAATTTTATCTCAGGTCAAAAATCAATGAAAGAGTTAACATTGCGGAGGTTTTCCTGTAAAGAACATGGCTACCGCCTCTATGATTGTAAGAGATGGAACTTGGACTTGTCTCAACATTTAACTCTATCAAAGTTAAACTTGTACAAGTTATTTGGGAGGCTACAATTAAATATATCAACACCGTCATTAGTTAATGTTACATTGAACTACATCAATCTAGATGAAAGTTCAGTGCTACTGTCATGTGACATGTTGAATATTGAACGTGTGGAGTTGCAGGATATAAGCATGTCTGAAGGAAGTTTACAGAACTTTATTACCGTGCTGGACAATCTACCGCAGTCAGTTACAGTAAAGATGGCCGACATAGAACCGGAAACAGAATATAAACGTATTAAAGAAAATATTCGGAGATCACAAACTTTTCATGTGATACAAGACCACGGCGACTACTGGCGGGGGGCATTTGAGTTCAAAACAAGGAAACCAAGTAAAGAATAAACAAGAAAAAATATTGTAAAATAAACCTGAAGAAATTACTTCAATATTTTGAAATGAAAACAATTAAACAACAGAAACTTAAAATACAAAATGACCGCACTGGCGATTGATGAAAATGTACTGTTTGGTAATAAGTAAATAAACAATAACTATATTTATAAATTATCATTTATTTAATTACAAGTGTTTCTAAAAAAATCTTTCAAAAGAAAGAATTAATTTACCGAAATAATTCACGGTATGTGATGGATATAAAAGTTGGATTAGGAAATGGAAATATTTCACAGGTAAGCGATTTTATTTGTCTTGAAATGTTTTTTTTAAAAACTTTGAAAAGTAAACATTTAAACAATTGAAAAAACTTGATTTTTTTTAGAAATTTATATAACTCTGTGTTTAACGCATCTGATAAAGATAAATGTATTAATCACGTGAGCACTTATAATATAACCATACCTTTTACATTAAACCCAGCCTCCAACAGTCATACAAATGTGTTAATATATGTAAAATGAAATGAAAATTGTTGTATTTTACAATACATTAGATACTTTACTTACTTGTTTTATTTTGTGTAATATATACCAAATGTAATGACTTAAATTTGAAACACAGGTGGTCGAAACAAAATCTTTTTTTAAAGTTTTATAAGGTCTATATACAATAAGATAATTATAATATCTTCATATACATATATAGGCCGATCATGTAAAATATTTGATTATGTGACTAGAGCCTGTGCTTTTAAATACTTTGTTTGTATGAATAACTTGTTTATTATATAAATGAATAAAATGAATGACTTGTTTTAAATTTCAGTAAGCAACAGGTAGAAAGTGTTATGTGGTTTTGTACAGGGGGGGGGGGGGAGGCTTGTTCCAAATATGTCTGACATGAGTTTATAGTTTAAAAGATATACATTATGATAATTGTTTAAGGAAAAAGTATGATATTTTGTGTTCTAACCATCGTTTATCAACACTTGACTTTTTTTATTTTTCATTTTTTGCATTTTGTTGCCTTGAATAGCAGAAAATTATGTATTTATAAAATGTTTTTTTTAATAAATATAGATAGTATGGTCATTGAAAATATGCCTCATTTATCTAATTACAAAGGGAAGTCGAAGAGGGGCAGTGGGCTTGGGGATGAACAAATTTATTTCATATATGAGCCCTTTATAATTTTATACTATACACGTTTAATATATTTACTTATTTTTTATACCAATGTTTGATCTGAAAATAATATTGTTTTTTTCTCAGGATATCAGCTACAATCAAGAAATCTTCAGGGATAATGGCGAATAAACTACGATTGTTTAAAATAATGATTTTACTCCTGTTTCCTGGCTTTACAGAAACAGAACCACAAGAAAACACTTCGTGATTTTGAACCACCATTACCTTGTAAATGATTTTGATTCCTGGCTTCATGGAAACAAAATCGGTAGACACAATATTCAAACTGTTGCAGTACCTGTTTTCTACACAAAAAAGTTTTTTTTACCTTTACAACGGAATTTATGCCAAGACCGCTGTCAAATATTTAATAGCTACTTAGAATTTACGGTGGCGAAAAGAGGACAATAAAAATATTTAATTTGTCATGTGTGTTCGTTTACGTATGACGTGGCAACGTGTTAATTATGATGTGTGCACATAATTGTTTATACCATCGCACGTGTTTGTATTACATGGAGACGTTTAAACTTACGTGCATACACATAGGTATCATGTGCACTGCATTATTCTTACGCGCGCTCGAAAAAACTCAAATTTGCTCACGCGTTGACGATCGTTGTTGAAAAGATAGTGAGCATAAGTACACATTATAGTTAACAAACGTGCGTTTAAAGAGTCATATGTGCCCACGTAATTATCAACATTTGCGCGCATATAAGTTACTTACTGAAAACGTTGCAACGTAATAAAAAAAGTGAAAACTTGATTAAAGGCCCATTATGCCGGAGAAATGCTTGGCTTATTTTTTGAACAATCTTTTTCATTTGTTGCTTCTTGACAATTAGTAGAGTTATACTGATTTAGTATTTTGTACTAAGTCAAAATACTACATTGTTAAAATTTAGCTACTTTCATGGCAAATTATTCCACAATTATGTCTACTTCTTTTCAGGTTTAAAGCCTCTAACCTTAATTCATTATTTAAATGCTATAAAATCATACCCTTATAAAACGTTTTTTCTTTTTTTATCTGACACATAATGTGCCATTAATAGAATATTTCGATGTCTGACTCAGATGTATGCCACCCTTAAACACTTTGAAAACACAAATGAAACTGTTGTGTGAATAACGCTTTTAACTCAGAAAGACAGATTGATATATTTCCATTTATGTCCACATTGAAAAAAAAACCAGCATATTGTCTGTCATTTAAGAATGAAATTACGAAACAATTGTAAGACAAAGTAATGAAGAATTTGTAATTATTGTTATTAATCCTGACAGAATGATATGTGCATAGATGTATTGCTTTTAAGGTTTTCTACTCTATTTTGTTAGGTACAAAAGATTGTTTATATAATACATTCATAAACAGAGGGTCAATGCCCTTTTTACGTGTATAAGCACAAGACAGCATTTGAAGCTTGAGTCTGTAGGGCGAGATATTAAAGAAAGTCCGATGCCCTCTGCAGATGTTCATGTTCGAAAAAGGTACATAGTTTTGTTTCGTGACGTAATTCGACAAAACCGGTGTTGATTTAGTTTAAAGATATATTATGCTCAACTTTGATATTTGGTAACATTAATAATTATTGCTATACACTCTTTTTTTAAATGTAGAATAAAACATCTTTTGAAATACGTTACGTTTTAAACTGTACACAATTTAGATAAATGTAGTGTTAATACATAGTGTTGTCTTTTAAGAAAGAACCAAATTAACCTGACCAGTAACCGGGTAAATGCATCTTTGAACATTCTCTTGTTCAAATTAGACATAATAAATTATAACTTCATAGATTTAAAAAAAACAAATCTGCTAAACGTTTCTTACAAACGTGTGAGTAAAGTATATTTTGAAAGAATAATTTTTATTTCATATATCAATATTCTGATATAGCGCATATACTATGTCAATAGCTCAGAAGTAATAAATTACAAGGTTATTATGTTTAGAAGTAATTAATTAAATAATTCATTTCTGACTAAGCTCATATTTCTGTAGTTGTTTTCTTTTTTATTAAGAAAATGGTTTTTGTAAAGGAATCAATAATTCATTGAGTGTTTCAAAATATTTATAACATTTGTTTTCTGATTATTGTACCATACTTTATCCTTTGTGTTTTTTAAATAGCAGAAGAATTTTTTATGCTATTGTTCTTTGAGAACCTATTATTTTTTACAATAATTTCTGTTGCTTGAACTTCATATTGTAAATTGTTTATTGCTGAATTTTCTTTTACCCGAAGAGATTTTTTACAAACTATATTGTAGTTTGCTCAAATCTTTATGTCTACATATGTCTTTTCCTGTATATATAGATCTATTCTAACAACTTTGTACATAATCTGCTATTGTTTATTATTTATGATCTTATAATTCAGGCTGTATTTGAATTTGTTTATCTAGATTCAATTCTTTACTTTTGTAACGTTTATGTTGATTATGATAAGATAATCATGACGTCTATATACGAGAAACTAATAATACTGCACGTTAGAAACATTGCTTTTCATTGGATATGCGTGACGTTTATTTGGTTTTAAAAACACAAATACTGTCAACATAAGAAGAAATCTCAATTATCTCTAAAAAAAGGAAGCAAGCCAGGAGTATAATAAACTCGTTATAAATCTTCCTGACAGGTTGTATGACCATATATAAACGGTTGTTTCCAATATAACTCTCGCCTAGCGGCTCTTGTTATATTTTTAAAAAAACGTTTATATACGGTTACATAACCTGCAAAATCCTGATAACTAATTATGTATATATTAAGATGGTTGCATAAATGTAATGTCGAATTTCATTGCATAATGACGTGTATATAGATGTCTGTACAGATATACATGCATGTCTGTGTTATAATTGCAATGTTCAGAGAACAGAAAAAGTCTATGTTGTTCAAATCATATTAATGTATGCTTTAGAATTATAGCATTTTATGATAATTATTACCTTATGGTTTCTATTGCATGATTTGGTCTTTAAAAACTATTCAGTTCAAATACTCAAGAAGATTTTGTAAGTAATTCAAATTTCACTCAAAATCGTTTCAATGTTCCTGTATGTTTGTATTTTGTATTTACTGCAACAGGTAAATAGTAGTGACTGCATCTTCTGTTGATCACAAATGTTTAATGATAATTATATAAATTGTAGTTTTGATTTTGAACATTATTAAAGCAGCACAACTTTAGATAAATACATATATTAAAAAACAAATCTTACAAACAAATGATATGTGAATTGTTTTCCGAATCATGTAACCTTTGATTTTTTTATACAATTTATGACTTCTATTAATTTTCTACACCATTATAAAGCATCTAAGGACTGTATTTCGACTTAAAGGCAGTCTTTACATGATTAGCATAATTCTTAAACACTTTGATGCCTTTGACTAGTTTCGTAGACTAAACATTTTTTTTTTACAATATTAAAAGAAAATCTGCAGGTGTGCTGCTTTAATACATGTATATATTTATTATTTTGGTGAATCGGATATAAACTGTAATTTGTGTGATCTTGTTTTTTAAATTGTTTTATTGAAATTTGTTTAAGTTATAGGAAAACAGAAAATCACTCCATGTGTTCACGTAAAGAAAAAATGAATTCATGTGCTCATGTAAAAAATGAAAATCATTTTATGTGTTCAGGTCAAAAACAACAACAAACGAAAATCATTCGATGTGCACAGATATAAACATGAAGGTCATATGATATTATGTGCGCATGTCAAGATTATTATACTTTAGTAAAACATTAAGTTTTTAAAAATAAAGTTACAACATAAAACATTCGGCTTTTCGGCCAATTTGGTGACATAGTGATATTATACAGTGAGCCAATCTTATTAAGGAGAACATTTTGTTTCAGAGAAGTTGCTTTAAGAAATAGCTAGTTTTATAAGCAACCACCATTATTTTATTTGTAATATGATTTTATTATCTGTATTTATTGACATCCGGGGAATATTAAATTGTCAGTGATGAAGCTATATATCATATATTTGTGAAATTTGGTTAAAATCATGTAAATATCCTGTTTTTAAATGCACCTTAATGTGTGGTATTTAAACGCTCGAAAACTGTTTGAAAAAATATTCTAGTTATAGTATTCTTATTTATAATTTTGTATAATTACAAAGTAAAATATATTAAATAAAATTATATTATGACTTATTTAACAAACAATCAATTACCTTTAAAGGCACATTATGCATCAGAAATCAATTTCTTTATTTAGACCTGTCACAGGAAAAGATAATCATGTATATGGCAAATGAGTTTTTTTGTTTTTGTTTTGGAAAATCAACTAAGATATAAAGTTTTATAGAAATAAAAATAATAGCATTGATGAAGAATAATAGAATAATGGACCTTTCAGCGCATCTTATTCAGTAATTATACGCCTACCGTACAATTAACTTGTTAAGGTATGATATGCTGGAATCAGTTTGTCCATCTGTCCAGTCATAAAAATATTGTCATGAGCATAACGAGTTGTAAACTAGAAATTCTTAGACATCTACTTTATCCATTTAGAAGAAGTGAAGCTTTATTCGAAACATATGAATGTATCAAATAAGTATTTAATAAACAAAACTTAAGACTCTGAACTCTTTTTTGAATAATTTTGGAGTTATGTTATTGCTGTTTTTAATGTTAATGAAAAATTTGTATATTGAGCATAGGAACATCATTTTATCATCAACTTGATATATGGTTACACCTTATTGAAATGAGTGCAATGCTTAAAATCATGACTTTCATGTGCATAATTTGAGTTATTGCCCTTTGTATTTAATTCAATTGTTTGGAAGTATTGACATGCATTAGACAGAGTAGAGTAGTCTTATTTTAGGAGAAGTACATTAGTCAAGAACTATGAGTCTATAATGCATATTTTGGAGTTACTGCCCTGGGTATTTGTAATTATAAATTACTTAAATGCTCAAAATCTTAATTTTAAGTAACATAATTTTGGAGTTGTTTTTGCTTTTTGTATTTTGTTTGAGTTTTGTCCGGAGCATAACTCAGAATGAATAAGAAGTGAATTTATAACATATTGTATTGTTTAAGAAAATGACACAAATTCATGAAAAATAAAATTGTGTAACATAATTGATTGTTAGTCCTCATATACACCTGTAATACCTATATGTTACAAGGTGACCTTGTGGTACATGTAATACCTGTATATTCTAAAGTCATCTTGTGATACCTGAAATACCTGTGCGTTCTACGGTGACCTTGTGATACCTGTTATACCTGTTTGTTCTAGGATGACCTTGTGATACGTGTAATATCTATACGTTCTAAGGTGACCTTGTAATACTTGAAATACCTGTGCGTTTTCAGGTGACCTTGTGATACCTGAAATACTTGTACGTTCTACGATGACCTTGTGCTACATGTTATACCTGTGCGTTCTCAGGTGACCATGTGATACCTGAAATATTTGTGCGTTCTCAGGTGACCTTGTGATACCTGAAATACCTGTGCGTTCCCAGGTGACCTTATGATACCTGTTATACTTGTACGTTCTGAGATAACCTTGTGATACCTGTTACACCTGTACGTTCTAGCGTTTAACCCAGAGTTCATTCAATCAACGTTTTTTACAATTCTTTGCTGATGATTTCAATATGAAGGATTTCGGTTTGTCCGTGTTTTAAAATTTATGTCTTATTTTGTCAGTTGATAAAACTATGAATAGTTGTTAATTGTGCCATAAAGACACATAGTCCAAGACATGGCGGACCGTTATTGCAGTATCACAAAAAGAAACATTGCCATTATAAAACATATTGTTTTTGTGTCTCAAAACACATTTCTTGATGTGGCCCGGCTAAATGTACACAAATTCAAGATGGCCGCAAATATGGCCTCCAGAAACGACAAAATACCCCTTATATATTTGTTTCTTGACATTTCACTTGTAGATTTTGTAAATCATTGTTTTAATTGCACAACATCAGATGGAATATAGGCAGTTTATGAATCAATCAAGTAAAATTGACCATTAAGTGGCAACCTTTAAAATGATCATATCACATTTGCTATGTTCCGGAAAGCAACTATAAAACTGTGACGTAGCGCATACACGAGCTCACTATAGTCTTCATTTGCATGTTAAAATTCGTATACGAACTTTAGTGTTACCGTGGGGTTTCCCGTTTAAAATCCTAATTTATGAACAATATTTGATGAGATTTACAACAAAACTTTTAAACAGGTTAATGAAAGTGTAGAATGTTTGATTTTTAGGCCGACGGAAAAATATTTTTACATATTTATTTAATGTAACTTTAAATTACATCAGATTAAGGGTTTGGTAAAGTAAGAAAAATAGGTTAGTTAATTTAGACAAGGCAAGCGTCTAAATCACTGTGATCTATAGGAGAAAGTAGTCTTCTAGATCATATTTTCAAAAGAGTCTCAACTTCATTTATTTTGGAAGGATAGTTAAGATCACTGATAGATATAATATTTGTAGATAAAAGTACTCCAAATAATTTGAATGGACCTTTGTCCCATTTAACACCAATTTCTGGACATAACTCGAATTGCACTTATCCATTACGCCTTTGTTTAGTCAACATTTATTTTTAAACCAGAGATATCTGCATTAAATTTTAAAACTTTTATAATATGAACGAAAAATTTTTCAGAACCATCTAACATCAAAGAGGTGTCATCTGCATATTGTGAAATCAAATACTCTATACCCTCAATTTTTATACCTTTGATTTTAGTGTTTTGGCTGAATTTAAAAGAATGAGTCGGTAAAAATACGAAACACAGGTCTCACTGCAATAAACTATATATCAATATTTTTCAATACATCATTCGTAACTATAGAAACATTTTATTCATTTATTCCTCTGAGACGTTTTTGTCTATAGAATGTTGTAAACTGTATGTGGACAAACAGATTGGAGGATATACTTTTTTATGGCTTTTGTGTTTTTCATGCTCTGGTCAAATTTGATGATTAGTTTTCATTTGCCATGTATAAATATAGATGGTTATAACTAGATACTTGATATGTATGAGTTATCGGTTAAGTTTTGAGTTATTGTAAGTTTCGTTTTAGTTGCCAAATGTATATACTCCGGGAATAGAAAAATAAAAACGTTTACAGACGAATGAATGGTGAACTTGAATAGTAAATTGAACTAGTCTTCTTCAGATAAATTACTGATAATGACCTGTGCAAGGAAGTGAATTGTCTAAGAACCATATTTCTGTCTAGGGTAATTTTGTTATTATCTTTCTATTTATGTCCAGTGTATAACTCCTAAACTATCAATCATATCTCATTTCACCTTCACACAGTAAAGTGCAGTGTTACAGAACCATATCTGAGTAATAATTTAAATTACTTTGTCTTCAAACATTTACCCGTTATATCACATTATAATGTATACGTTTTTGTGTACAATTCTACTGGACGAGTTATAAGCTGTTAAATCTATATTGCACGAGGCTGTAACCGAGACTGATATATGTTTTGCAGCTATGCACAAGTACAGTAGAATTAGTACTGTTCTCAGCCATGTATACTGACCTCTTTACTAAACACCGTCATTTATTGAAATCTGACAGAACTTTATTTCCCTAATTACATTGAGAATTTGATTCGCAAAAAAAATAAAAATGAGGCTAAATGTGGTATTATGAACCTTCAAGTTATATGTGGTGTTATATGGATTCGATGAAATCTCATGACTCTGGACATTAAAACGAGGCTTTATGGTATGTGATATGGAACTGAGACTAAATTGATAAGACTGGATCCAATAATAATTTGCATCGGAACATCACGTGGTGCAAATGCTCAAAGTACAATGGTTATATTTTATAAGGTGTGAAACTATGCTTGTTATACTATTGTTGATACAGCCTTTTTCTAGTAACATTTTTCGTATTTAATAGATAGGTATCATAATCATGCTTTGATTTGGGTCAAGGGATACTAGGGTTAAAGGCAAATTTCACATTTTGCTCATACACTGTATGACCTTTGCATTTGCATTGAGAGATGTGCAATGAAAGACAATGACAAATGTGCCGGCTCGGGGCGCATCCGTCGATTTCATCGAAATGTCTTGTTAGAGTTGTTGTTCTTGACAAATGTAACTCAAGTGATATATTTTCATTATCAAAGTCTATATTTGAGTAAAATCACATTTTGATACCACATTTTTACTATTCTTATGATTTGTGGGTTGTTGTTTTTCTTTTGTATGTTGTTTCAATAAATTATATTCATCATCTTATTTATCAGTACATATATTATGTATACATGTATTTAATGTATGATTGTATCACATTCACAAATTCGATCCGATTCGATCGAAAACAATACCGTACCATACAAGTTTGTGGTCCGGATAACGTTGCTAGGATTCCCGTATCATTACATTATGGTTAAATTAATATATTTTTGATTTGTGGGATATATTTTAAAAGGATTGTTATAAAAGAATTTCGACCTACTGTTGTAACTTGTATTTTACTGCCAAATAGTTTAGCAGTACGGATCACACATGGCGCTTCTACGTCGCGTGATGTCCTAGTACTTCTTGGTCAAATACAAGTTCAAAATCAAGTTGCTCCTAAAATTGACCTTTTATATTTTGTTTTTGTTATGTATTGTTTAATTTATAAAGTTCTTGTTTTTATTTTGTATGCAAAATATATGTATATAATTATGAATTATTACCCTTTCTTTTAAAAGGTATTTAAATTTGTAAAACATATTTGCAGTTATCAAAGTGTCATGATGTTTACAGTGTCAGCAAAAATTTGGTATTTTTTTCAAGAGTTGAATAAACCCATCTGATATTTACTGTATATCTACACACATGTATTCTTTAACACATTTTCAGTCTAACTAAAATACTTTAATTTAAGATTTTTATATTCTTGAAAAGTTAGACTATTTGAAATATGAAAATCAAAATTAGAAAAACTGAAATGTAAGTCATGTTTGTCAAGGGAAGTAATATATCCAGACATTGTCTTATAATTGTTTTTATAAGTACTCAGTTAAACAAAAAGGGTATGTTTATATAATATATTGTATTGTTTAAGAGTTTATTTTTTGATTGTTTATAATATATCATTGTCGATATATTTATGAATATGAAATAAAATTTGTGCTTCGACATCTTTTGTTTGAATAGTGATATTTTGTCATTGTTATATACGGATAATACCTATACGTTCTAAGGTAAAGTTGTTGTCAAATATAAGATATTAGCTGTACCCAGAAATCACGGATTGGAGTTCTATTGTGTAAATTATCATTATGCACTAGTACTGGTTAATCCAGGAAGTACAAAATAATTTCAAAATCAAACATGTTTACTCGCAAATCAGCAAAAATAAAGTTTATCCTTCAGAAATGCAACATGTATTCGCGTGCCCCATATTATAAGTGAAAAACTGTGTTTTTAATCACTCAAAATAAATATTGTATGTTGTCCTCTACAGAATTAAGACGTTTTTCATGTAGGGGTCGAAATACAAGAACAAAATCTGTTCAAGAGGTTTCAATTCTGCAAGTATCTAGATATAGGGGAAAACACACACACACACACACACGCACGCACGCATACACACACACACACAAACCAAACAAAGATGGTCGCATTATAACAGTACCGAGATAAAAGATATAAGAACCAAAACAAAAACGTTTAAAAAAAGATAAAGAGAAAAGATTGGTCGCATTATGAAACAAACATTAATTTTATATAAGCCTTAATATGATATATAACCTAAATATAAATCATTTTGATTGTATAAGAACCTTGCAAATAGAACCGAAAGAAACAAACCGGTTGAATTCTGGAAAACTCAGGCATAATAGGTTAATTACAGCAGTTATATACAACTTATTGAAATTGTTTATTAATAAACTAAGGTTTCAAAATTTCATATTGATATATTGTCAAGGTAGCCTTTGTGTCCTTGTGGTGGTGGCTGACGTTTAATCACTCAACCGTCACCGCCGTGGGTTCAATTCCCGCCAAGTCTTTCTATTCTTCTTTGCGAGAAAGCGATCCGGCTAGCAAACAGAATGTCGGTGCTATTTATCACATTCAACCCGC